GAATGCCAATGACAGTTGCCTCTTTCCAAGAGGTGGGAAAATAACTGAATTCGAAGCAGGCGTTAAAGATAATGGCCAGTAAGGCGATTACCTGCTCCGGGAAGTGTTTGAGGGCTTGGTTGGAGATACCATCCGCACCCGGTGCTTTTTTGGGCTTAAGTCCTTTGATGATAGATGAAATCTCATCTTTGGACACAGTGATAGGGTCAGAGGCGGTAGGGGGCGAGTTCCTGCGTCGGACCTCGTCCTCCACTAGTTGAATGTGTAAGGGGTCAGTGGGTTGTGAGCTAGGAGAGCATTGAGCGGCAACGCTGTCCGCGAAGCACTCAGCTTTTTCTTCGTCTTCGAAGGCAATAGAGCCGTCGGGACGAGACAGAGGGGGAGTATGGGTTATAAGCGTCTATCCGGAGGGCTCTCGCCATCCGGTAGTACGCTGTGTGAGAGGGAGAGATTTTCTCCATGAGATTGCCCTTTTCGTGGTCTCTGTAGTCTTGGAGGCGGTAACGCAGTTTGCGTTGAAGGCGGTGGGCCGCGAGTCTATATTCAGGAGTGGGATAGCGTGCAGCTCTACGGAGGGCGGCTTTTTTGGCTTTTAACAGGTTGCTAATATCTAGGGGAAGACTAGTTTTTGCAACCGGGACAACTTTTTCATTCTCTTTAAGAGAGGATGTTATGAGTGAGGTGAGATTTTCGACCGCGGTGTCTATTTTCCCCGCACTGTCGAGGGCATCGGAAGAAAGGGTTATGGGAGGGTCCGGAGAGTCTATAGCCGAGGCTAGAGACTTTTTGAAGCCCTTCCAGTTGGTGTAGGTTTTGGAAGTGGGAGTTGGAGATGGCTGATGGCCAAGAAGGAGGGATACAGGACGGTGGTCGGATCCTAGATCGTCGAGAGGCTCGATTGCTCTAAGGTTAAGGGAAATTCCTTTAACTAGAGCAAAATCTAGCACATCAGGAGCGTAGGTAACAATGTCGGGATAGTGGGTGGCAGTGAGGGGGCTGTAGACAGTTAGGTCGAGATACTGAGTGATATTGAGCAGCACCCTGCCACTACTGGTAGTAGTTCGGCAGGCCCATTCAGTATGCTTGGAGTTAAAGTCTCCAAACATAATGACTGAGTCGCCTAATGCAAGGATAGCTTCGAAATCACTCTTGACGGGGAGGGTTCCGCTAGGGATATAGCAGGAGGCTAAAACGATTGACTGGTGTCCAGTCATGGCTAGTCTAGTGATAGTGGCTTCCATACTGGTAAGCGACGGAGTAGGTATGTGGGAGCAATGAAGGGACTTTTTGTGATAGATGGCAGTACCGCCGCCTTTGCGGTCGGGTCTATCGTTACGTATAAGTGAATAATTTTTAATAGTAAGGCCTTTAGAGACCTTGGGGCTGAGATGGGTCTCCTGTAGGAGTAAGAGATCGGCTTCGCGATCTCGTAGAAAAAGCCTAAGCTCCGGGAGGTTATTTCGCAGACCGCGGATATTGAATGAAACAAGCGACAAACCCTTTGGTTTGATACGACCGTGAGATATTGCGGAAGCAGAGGGCTCCGGCATAATTAAATTACAAGGACCTTAGAAGGTTGATGTGCTCGGTAAGAGCAAGGAGGCGGCCCTGAGGGGACTGAGCTGTGCTCAGTTTATCCGCAAGGATGAGGATTTCGTCCAAATTGATTCTATTGAGTGTGTTATACACTAGGTTTAGAGACTCTACAACAGAGTCTGTCTGTTTTTTTGGGTCGGCGGAGGGCCGCGGGATATTTGATTCCTTTTGGAACCAGGGTTTTATTGGGAGCGGCGCTGGCTGAGAGAGCGGGAGGCTCATAAGGGGCCGAGGAGGGCCCTGAGGTGGCCGATAGGGGCCCTGTGGGGGCCGATAGATGCCCTGTGTGGGCTGAGTTGAGCCCTGAGGGGGCTGAGGTAGGGGCTGGCCCTGGCTGGGCTTGCGGCTTACAAGAGCCGGGAAGGTTCGGTCATTGACCTGTGGTGGAGCTTTGCGGCTCGGAGGTGGGCGAGGGGCGCGAGGGCAACCTCTAAAATTGGCCGGATGGCCTGTTTGTCCGCAGAGGATACATGAGGGTGGGGATTCGGCGTTTTTGGGCCGTGGGCACTCTTTCGAGTGATGGGGTTCTAGGCACTTAATGCACCTGGGTGGAGCTGAGCAGTTGCCTGCCGCGTGTCCATAAAGTTGACAGCGGTGGCACTGCGCTGGGTAACCGCGCCGGTGAGGGGCTTCGACCTTAACACGCGACAGGCCGCACACAGTGCGTACCTCGCGGAAAATGGCCTTCGCCTCCGGCACATTGGTGAGAACGAGGAGGGCGAGGTTAAACCTTTCGCCCCTGCTGCTGTGCATTTTATGCACACCTTCAATGGGGAAGCCTTGGGATTTGAGGTCTTCCAGAATGTCTTCGTTTGCGAGTTCATAGGGAACTCCGCGAAGGACTGCCTTGATTTTCCTTTCTTCGGCAAGGGCGTATGTGTGGTAGGACACACGCTCGGCCGTGAATAGGCGGGTTATGTTTCGGAAGTCTTTTATAGACGCCGGTATAATTTTGATGGCCTCGCCGACATTAGTGGCTTGGTCGTATTTGAAACCCTTATCGTAGAGGGTTTTGGACAATTGAGTAAATTTCGCCTTGTCTCTGAGAAAGGCAGGGGGCGGGACTTGGTTTTTGGCCAGTTCGGGAGCGCAGCGGGTTGCTGGCTTGACGGTATTGTCTTTCGACTGTGAGGCGGCAGCAATTGGGGCTGCGGAAGTAGGGGCAACGATGGGAGCTGCGGAGGTAGAGGCAGCGGCGGAGGGAGTGCGGGCGGCGGCGGCCGCTGAGGCGGGGGGAGTGCGAGAAGTGGCAGCGCGTTTCGGGCCGCGCTTGGATTTCACTAACGTGAATTCGGCTTGGGAGTCGGTTATGGTTCCTTCGGAGTCGGAAGAATCCGAGGAGCCGGTGGAGCTGAGGGCGGTCCTCTTCCGGGAGGATGAGGTAACGGACGTGGCGTCCGAGTGCTCCATATCGGAGTCGGGGGACGCGGGTGAGTCGGACTGCGGGGCAGACGCTTGGGTCGCGAGGAAAGCAGCGACGGCGGGCGGGGGGTACACATGCCTTAGGGGCAGCGGGGGGGGGAAAATGGCTTTGGCGAGAAGGGTCTCGTCAATTTGGGCGGTTGTAGGTATTCCTGCGGCTTGGATCATTTGTACGATCGTGGCCGCAACCTGACTTATGAGTGAGCTTATGTCTATTGAAGACATGTTGACGGGGGGGTGACGTTTAGTTCTAAGAAAACTGGAGGTCCCTGTTCTGAGAAGAACAGGGCCTTAGGGGCAGATGGGGAGGACTGACGATCTATTCCCAGAAGCTGGGGTCCCTATGTTCTGAAAAGAACAAGGGCTTGCTCTGAGAAGAGCAAGAGACGATCTACTCTAAGAACAGTATATACACAGTAACAATATAACAAAAACAATAACAGAAAAATTAAAAATAAAAATTAAAAATAATAAAACAAAAACAAAACAAGCGAAGCGCGCTCGAGCCTCCCCGCCGGAGCAAGGGGGCAAGAACGATGCAAAAACAAAGTGACTCACCAACGGCGTCTGCTCGGCCGGTGTTAGCCGGGGAGAGCGGGGCGCGCGGGCAAGCGGTTGCGCTACCGAAGGGTCGGAGGCGCGAAAGAACTGTGTGCACGACCGCTCGGGGGCGGCGCGCAAACGGAACTCTGTGACTACTGATGATATATAAGTCAATGGTTTGTCACCCTTATACTGTCTACACACCGAAGCCGCCGGCCCGCCGGCACGAACCCGGCGGACAAGGCCGGCGGCCTGATTTTAACGATCTTGCAGGCGGCGTGCGCCCGCGCGATCTACCCTGCGGCACGCCTCTCTCCGCTCTTCAGTTGCCCGCCGGCTTTTAAGGAATAGTGATGTATCCGTGTTTTTTATCGACCATATATTATGGAATGGGATGACGAAAAAGTATTGAAACTAATATACCTTTATCACTCAAAACCACTGCTATGGAACCCAAAAGATGGTGATTATAAAATGCGGCCAAAACGCTTCGACGCTTTTAATGACATTGCGACTGAACTATTTACATCCGTTAATGAAGTGGAGAGAAAAATAAAAAAATTTACAAGTCACTAATTCGCAATATGGCAGGATTGAAAGATGACCTTATCACAAAAATTGATAAGGGCGTACTCCGATGGTTTTGGTTGATGGAAGAAGCGAAAGAGGTATGTAAGGATCGTGACACTTGGCGATCTGTTCTCTCTGGCTACCCCGTTAGGGATTGTGCGTGAAGATAAGTAAGTAAGTAAGTAACAAGTCACTATTACCGCGAAAAGAAAAAAGAAAATAGTTCAAATAAATCCGGCGCGGGTACCGACGAAATTTATCAAAGTAAATGGTTTGCCTACAAACCACAAAATTTTCTGAGCAATAAAAATGTGCCTATTGAAACGATGGAAACTGTAAGTATAACATTTTTTACATTAATATAGCACTATGTGTAGAGTGGGTGTATGTGTATGTATAGTATGGGTATCTATATGGGTTTTTGGGTGTATTATCATAGTAAAAGCAAAGAAGTAAGTGCTCTTCATACACGCCCAGCGAGCGCGGGGTCTGAGATGGGCTACTTCTTTGTTTTTACTATGATATTAGTGTGTAGATGGTGTGTTAATGGGAAGTACCTAAATGAGCAGTTAACTTACCAGTAGGGTTATTTCGTGTGCACGGAATAAATCACAGTATTATCAAATTGTCTGTTTTTGCAGGATACGCCGGAGGGTCATAATTCACAACAGGATTCACAAGATTTACCAGAGATGCCGACAGAAAATATAACTTCAAAAGCAAATAAATGTCCTAGAAACAATCAAAAAGATGAGATAGGGTCAGAAGCACTGACTATTATGAGAAATATCTCCGGACGACAAAATGCCTCTTAAGAAAAAGATGAGGATGGTTTATTTGGAGATTTTATTGCGAGCCAGTTAAAAAAAATGGATCGCTCAACAAAAGCTATTGTGAGGCATCGGATTAATAATATAATATTCGAAGCCGAAACTGGTTGTCGAGTCGATATGTTTTCAGATTTTTCAAGACCGTCAAGTGCACACAGTCATCCAGGATACTATAAGACGGCTGCTACCCCACCTACAAATTATTCAACACCGACGGCTGATACCCTACCTACAAATTATTCAACACCCGTGTACTCTGAGTACTCTAACCAACTTAATGCAAATCCACAAACAGTTCCACCTCTAGAAACATTGGATGTAGAAGATGCAGGTGCAAATCCTTGAAATAGTAGTAGCTAGGATATTGAAAATATTTTAACATCCTTTGAAAAATAGGAGTTTAAGTACCTATGTAATTGTCTTTTAAAAATTAAAATATTGATTGTATGGAAATGTCAATTTTCTAGAGTTTGTTCATAAAAATCGGAAATTTCGTTTTTAATGACCTAAATTTCATTTACTAACATTTAACTCAGTGATTTATAAAAAGTTAAAAACACATTTCATACTTTGTTAAAAGCTTTATTATCCAAACTACAATCAAAATATTTCTCATCTGTTCAATAATTAAAAATGATTATGAGTAGTACGAGTGTTTTATTTGAGTTGACTATGAGGTGTTTATTAGTTAAATTGCCATTCTAATCTTAACACATCAGAAAGAAAATAACTAGTCAACTCCATTCTTGTTTCCTCTGCAGTGACTATTGCATCTGAGGTGGTATCATTATCTTCTCTGGGCATGTTAACTAAACAATTTTCATGGGGATGCCTTCGCCATTCACCGGGAATGACTTCTCCTTGTTTATTTTCAGAATCGTATTCATTATACTGTAGTGCACCGGTTCGTTTGATAAAATTGAATAAGTGTATACACGCCAATATTACAATCGAAGCTTTTTCTGGGATTAGCTCAATAGGTTTATGAAAAATCTGAAATTTGTTTGCTAACTGCCCAAACACATTTTAAACTACTCTTCTCCCTCGACATATACGATAGTTGAAAATCCTCTTTGGAGATATTATTATGTGATTACCATCATAAGCTTTCATAATATGAGTTTGCAATAGAAAAGCGTCATCACCCATAAAAAAGTATGAAACTGGTAAATTCCATCCAGATAAAGGATTATTATCTGGTATATTTAAATAATTATCATTTATCATCCTGCATAATGCGGAATTACTGAAGACACCACCATCTGAAGTTTGACCCTGACATCCCACATTAGCGTACAACAATTTGTAATCGGCATCTACTAACGCAAAGAGAACAACACCGAAATAATGTTTATAGTTATAATATTCACTTCCACTCCTTGGAGGGCATTTAAGTTTTATGTGTTTTCCATACATTGATCCAAGACAATTAGGCACATTCCATTTTTTTAAATATACATCTGCAACTTTTCTCCATTCTTCCGGTGTTCTTGGTATCTGGAATAAAATTCTTAAATTAATAAATATTTTTATACTCTGAACGCAGTGACATAATCCAGATATTTATCATATAAACATTTTTGTACAGCTACTTACTTTCACATAATCTGATAATTCTCCAACCAAAGCGTGACACACTTCAGTGATTATGCTTGAAATAAGTTGAGGAGATACTTTGAAGACGTCGCAAATGCTACTGAATGAATTTCCTGAGCTCAGATATTTTAACGTTATTGACAATCTGTCAACTGGTGGAATGGCCTTTCTGTAATTTGTGTCCTGTTTAGCTATTCTGTGTCCAACGATATTAAGTAAATATTCAAAGTTAGTACTGGTTAATGACAAAAATGTTTTAAAAGAAATGGGTTTCTGTAAAACCATGTCGTCTTTTTTTTAAATCACTTAATCTTTTACTAGAACTGTAACAATTGCGACTCCTTAAACTTGGCCTGATCCAACAGTTTCGTGTTTTGAGGAATCTACCTATAATAAACTGCACAAGTGGCTAACATTAGGTCACATTCATCGTCCTCATTCATGTCTTATACTGAAACGTCGTAATAATTAATTCGAAAGACACGCGCGCACTCTGCGAGCACTTGGCAATCACTAATTGTGAACACTGAATGCCGCGACTGGCGTGCCGCCGAGAAAATTGTCCGGCGCGCAACTTCTAAAGCCGCCGGGTCCATCCGCCGGCACTAACCCGCCCGGTTCGTGCCAGCGGGCTGGCGGCTTCGGTGTGCAGACAGCTTTGTGGCCGTGGAAGGAAAAGGGGAGATCTCCCGCCGGGCAAGGTGTTTTACCCGGGGAGCGGCCAACACTCCGTGTGATTGTTCGGAGATGTTCTATATATACTGTTTATGATTCGGAATGTTGATAGCGTGATTTAGGCTTCGCTGTATTTCGCTTGTGGCGCGACGACAACGTCGCTACAGCTTTATTCTATAAAAAAAAACAGACGAAATAAAATTATTACTAAAACTTTAAAAGGTGATGATGAGGGTAATGATTGATCTGGGAATTTAGATTATAACTAAATGCATGATTTTATACTTAATACGGATTTGAAAATTTTATAATGTTATTAAGTTTAAGCATACCTAATGTAATTGTTTTTGGTGTTGAACTAACGGAGCGACTTATTCACATTGTGAGTAAGCTCGTTAATAATGATTTTAAAAAAATTACGCTACATTAATAGAGATCCTATCTAAGCTAGTTTACCATAAAATTTCAGATGCATTCAAGTTGAGTCAGCAAGTCATGCTAAGCAATTACCAGTCTGATGCATCAAGGTCAGAAGATGTTGACGAATCTTTTAATACAGACGAGGCTAGAGAGTATAGAACAGAAGGTTAGTAATATACCACTCAACATTGATTAAAACTACTTTTACGGATTTTATCGCGTTTATTTTACTATTATCTTTAATTCCCGACGTTTCGGGCGCTTTCCAGTACCCATGGTCACGGGGGACTGAGATGACTGATGTCCCGATGTCATTGTAAAACCCGGAGTACCTTCAGCTTTTTTTTAATTATTGTTTATGGTCCGATCTATGCAAAATAAACGGACTATGTCCTGAGGTCTTGCAGTGGTATGCTTGGGTTTAGTTTTAATTTTAATGATTATAGGATCCCAAGCAGGTGGTATTACCCAGCCTCCTTCTCTATTGAAATTAGGATGTTTTTTAATTTCAATAGCCTCACGTATCATCCTTGGTAGGAATCGGTGTTCTTTCGCGAGGATTTGTGGTCTATCAAATCTGATGTAATGGTTGGGGCCGTCTAGAATATGATCGCAAACTGCAGACTTCCCGGAACATTGATGCTTCACATCAGCTATATGTTCTTTTACGTCGGGAATTAATAATAGTAAAATAAACGCGATAAAATCCGTAAAAGTAGTTTTAATCAATGTGTAGTGTTCGCGTAAATATAAGAAATCATTAAATATACCACTCAAGTCATTTAAAAACAGAAAAGTGAAAGAATTAACATGGATCATTTTATTTTTAGTTGACCTCAAAAAAGAAGGATGTTCACAATTGGACTATACGTTTTCTTTATGTATGTTCATATTGTTATGTGTGGTGTGAGAGCAAAGGCCGATTAAGATAAGAAATGAATGTATTATTTCACATACAGCAAGTGTACAATCAAGTTGTCCAAAACAGATATGCGTCCTCATCGTGGCAACTATGGCAAATGCCCCCTATAAAACAATCTATTATAGAAGCTTGTGTTAATCAATAGAATTTTGAGCGGCTGTCATGATAATGACGATGATGATGAAACCTCACCGGATTCGGTGCCCTCTGGCAACAATGAAATTATTTATTGAAATTTTAAGTGCCGATTTACTTAACAGGTACTCAGCTGCAAAAGAACAATGAGGAAACCTTTGTATCTATTGCTGTGGATATGCCTGCTCTCTTTCCTAAGAGAGTTTAGAGCAAAGAAAAGTATGCTCCAATGTATTTCGGGTTTAAGGACATTCAAATAATTTTCGTATGCATGCATGCATGTATTTTACGTTTGTAGTACAAATGGTTTGGCTCGACCAGGGTAGGAACACTATCACAGAATAACACCGTTAAATATTATCTTAATGTTTTTAGTGTGGTTAATGTAGAGGAGAATAATTTTACTAGAAACGTGGCATTCTATCTTAGCCCCCAGGGGTTTTTATTACCTATTTGTATTATGATTCTTAATAAAAGATGTAAATGTCTACAACGTCTTCTTGCCGAACAACATATTTTATTAACAAATATATTTTTTTAGATACTTCAATTATTTTACAAAGGAAAAGACCTATGGAAACAGACAACAGTTCAAAACAAACGAAACGGGTTAAATTAGGTGCTCAAAGTAACTCCTCAAAATCTACCTCAAATAACGGAGGATCTGATCATAATCTCGATTGAGAGGAAGCACTAATTTAGTTGAGGAATGTAATGTACCATCAAACTCTAATTTGGAGGTAAAGTCATTTATAACAATATATATTTTAGGGACCGTATGAAGTCAACAAACAACTTCTAGAGTATTTTTGACTGTTCACGCCCTTATCTTTACAGAGAGCTTTATGTCACTCCTCCCACAAGGGCGACACTGAAAATTTTTAGAACTGGCCACTTGTAAACGATATAATAACAAAATAAGTTCAAATTTTGAAAATGGAACTCGTTGCCAATATAATGATTTCTTATATTTACGCGAACACTACACATTGATTAAAACTATTTTTACGGATTTTATCGCGTTTATTTTACTATTATTTTTAATTCCCGACGTTTCGGGCGCTTTCTAGCACCCATGGTCACGGGGGACTGAGATGACTAATGACATATGGTAGTACAGCAGGCACATGCTCGACTGTAGCCGGCTTCATTCGGTCACTGTGACGTAGGCGCGGGACCCGAAGCTTGTTGTCATGCAGAACTTGCTTGACGTGCTGAAGCTCGGCGGCCAGGAGTTTGCTGTCACAGATCCCTCGTGCTCTCTGTAATAAAGATTTGCCCACAGTTAGCTACTGTGAAGGATGGTGGTGAGATTCACCGTTTAAATATCGGTTTGTATGGGTCTTTTTTCTACACAGTGTGACCAAAGGTGTTGTTAGGAATTCGGATGACTAACACATCTAGTTTTTAATGTATATATATAGTAATTATTTGCCTCTAACTCCATAGTAAATTGAATTTTAGAATTTATGGAATTAAGATGTTCTGAAAATGCAGTTACTTTGTCTGATGATAAAATTGTGAAAGTATCGTCTACGTACCGCTTGTAGAACCTTGGTGTAACAGGTGCAGTAAGGAGGGCTTTCTCCTCAAAGTCTTCCATGAATATATCGGCGACAATGGGAGATACAGGTGAGCCCATCGCAACACCATCCACTTACTTGTAAAACTCTTCCTTCCACCAATTAAAAATAATAGTAAAATAAACGCGATAAAATCCGTAAAAATAGTTTTAATCAATGTGTAGTGTTCGCGTAAATATAAGAAATCATTATTTAAACCAGTACGGACTGGAAATGCAAATAAAATACGCCGATTAGAAGATCTAAAGACCAAGCACGCAAGATACATAACAGCTTTAAATTTCTTGAAGAGATGCAGAGATCATAGTCTCATTCCTACGTGTCTCAAGATATCCACTAAAAAAGACATTCGAGGAAGCGGTAAGATCTTAAATCAGGCTAGTAAAAAATTGTTAATAACGGTGATTCAGCAAAAACGTATCGTTCTATATTTCATAAACAAAACCATAGAAAATTCTTCCAGTGAATTAAAGACAGTTTTATCGGCATTTGATTATAAAAATTGCATGGAAACTTTAGATAAACCACCTGCTTGGGATCCTATAATCAACAAAATTAAAACTAAACCCAAGCATACCACTGCAAGTCCTCAGGACATAGTCAGTTCATTTTGCATAGATAGGACCATAAACAATAATTAAAAAAGCTGAAGGTACTCCGGGTTTAACAATGACATCGGGACGTCAGTCATCTCAGTCCCCCGTGACCATGGGTGCTGGAAAGCGTCCGAAACGTCGGGAATTAAAAATAATAGTAAAATAAACGCGATAAAATCCGTAAAAATAGTTTTAATCAATCTTTGCCAATATTATTGTACTTACTTACTTACTTACTTACCTTCAGGCACAATCCCTAACGGGGTAGCCAGAGAGAACAGATCGCCAAGTGTCATGATCCTTACATACCTCTTTCGCTTCTTTCAGGTTCATTAACTTCCTCATACATGCACGTCTAGGTATCCGAGTACTCTTGACTTTCCCCTCTTCGAGCAATTTGCTCACATGGTCTTCGAAAGTTAGTCTCGGTCTACCTCGACACCTTTTAATATTTACTTTCGCTTTATGTATTTTCTTCACCATTCGGTCTTCACTCATTCGCTCAACGTGCCCAAACCATTGGAGTACGCCCCTATCAATTTTTGTGATAAGGTCATCTTTCAATCCTGCCATATTGCGAATCTCTTCGTTTCGCTTTCGATCGGCTATGGTAACGCCACACAATTTACGAAGAGATCGCATCTCCACTGCATTCAACTTGCTTTTATGCTTCTTCTGGCACACCTATGTTTCGCTGCCATATAACAAAGTCGGTACCAACACTGCGTTATGTATTGCAAGGCGTGCACTCTTCACTACGCCTTGCCTTTTGACTAATACATTCAGGGCACCATTGACTTTGTTCCCGGCAGCGACACGCCTATCCACATCTAAATCACATCTTCCATCCCGGCTGAAAGCACTCCCCAAGTATACAATTTCATTTACCTGTTCTAGACATTCTTGATTTACCCATATTTCACATTTCGTTCTCTCTTCGTCCTTTTCAAATAC